TGCTGGAGATTGCTTGTGCAATCCTACACACTAGGAGCTGCCAAGTAGGTGTTCCACCCAACTGGCCATTGCCAAGAAGGCGGAGTGGTCTCATGTTTTGACAGGCAAGAAGCTGAAATTTTAGGAAAATAAGCTCTTTTTAATTATTGTTTAAGATAGAGCTAAGTATCCCTTAGTAAAAATCTTTAGTCATCAACTTTTTACAAATTTTTTGGGTAGTTTATTTTTATGAACTACATCCAGGTTACGTGGTTATCACCATACTCAAGAGTAGTCTGACTTCATGAACGCTGTACATGTGTTAGCCAGTCTGACACCTCTCTTGGATACTTCTCCACCCTCACTGGGGGGGGTGGACGACAACTCCCAGGCAACTGGGTGAAAAATGAGTTCCTTCATTATGTTTTAATCAGATTAGTAAGGTGAAAACTAGAACTAGATGCTCAAACTTCTAAACAATGACAATTGAGCAACTGTGAAATAAAGATACTATTTCTTTTCTTACATGCCATGCAGTCAGGGAACTACTGAAATGCAGTAACAAATTGTCCTTTTCCCATGATTATTATGATAATTGCTTTTACTGAAAGTTTGAAGAAGCTCTGGACTACTAGAATTGGAACACTTCCCTCCTGGTGAAACCATGACACTGAGTAGGAACAGTAATTCTTCCAATGGAACTTCTCACAGAATGACTAATCAAAAATTAAAATGAAGGCAGGAAGAGAAAAAGCTAACAAACCAAAGATCCAACTCAAATCACCACTCTTCTACTTCACAGGATTCTAAAATTCAATGATGGATACTAGGGAAATTGCCTGGAGCCCAATGTGGACAATACTGGAAACATGTGCTTGGCTGAACATACCATGTAGCTATAAATAAAACCAAACAAGATGCCAGGGTACATGTGGAATGGGATGAGGAGTAATACAGAAAATGAAACCAAGATGTGTCAGCTGGGTGGTGCTTTCTCTTACATGCATCATGCATATCACACACCCCTCCCAGAAAACAAACTCCAAACGTGAATGAGCTCTAAGGAAAGTTGCCACAAATTTTGTGGTATATGGAAAAATGCCCCCCTTAAAATATGATATTAAAATATCCTATCCTATTCTTTTTTCCTAGTATCACTCTTAGAGCAGCACCTTTCATCCACCCAACACACGATGGTCCTGAAAGTCTTGTTACACATGATACAGGATGAAAGGCAGTGATGATACAGCTCATCCAAAACTGTTTGATGTTTAAATTGCAGGCATCAAAGTCATGAATGGGCATAAGGCCATCATTAAAACATTTCTGAAGTAAGTGGGACAAGAAGCTGGGTATAATCAATTCATTCTCTGGCCATTATTTGATTGTGAGGTAAATGGGGCTCGTTTCTCCTTGGGAAAGAGAGGAAATGCAGAAAAGCAGTGGTTTTATCTGGCTCTGAAACCTTCACACTTCCGCTGTATGGAAACCATAGTCAAGAGAACAAATAAATAAAAGCAACCGCATAATTAAAGTTTTGTGTGTGCACATAAGTAAAAAACCTGCACACTAAGCATGGTTTTCTTTAGAGTATCATGTATCAAAGCATGCATCAATCTTTATTCTTCTAATTTTATATGTTACTCTGAACTAAATGCGTTTTTCTTCTGTCTTTCCCTACTTTGCCAAAATCACAGAGACGAAATAACCTATCTGCCCATGTAGTTTTGAATTAAGTATACCTTCCAAGTTTATCTGCAGAGGTTTGTCAGAGATTCATGAATTCCTGAACTAGCAAAGGAAAACAAACATCCCTAACCTGTGCCATAATGAAAACCAGGCTTTTAGGAAACAAAGCAAGTGATTCCATTTCTACAGATAGATTCTACAGAGTGCTGTCTCATTAAAAATGATAGTGTGACAAACTAATGCTAATTATTTTGGTTGCTCCTTGTCTCACAATGGTATCTACTTAAAAGTAACAGCTGAACAGGAAAAATACGTTATCATTAATATTTTTAAATATATTTAGACACATTAAAAAATGTGGGTTTGCATATATATATATCCTCTTTATATACATATATATGTATATATATAAAATGCTGGGCTATACTGAGAATAAAATGAAGCCATGCGTGTCTTCTGATGTTTTTGCAGAAATTGTTGTTTTCTCCAATAGTTAACTTTAATATATACAAAGAAAATATAGCAAGACATTAATTGACTGTTACTTGCCATTTTGTTTAAAAAAACTGGAATGATGATCTAACAATCACCCCACCCCACCCCCCGAGAGACCCCAAATGTTTCAAACAAAGGAAAAATAGCATTGAAAATGAGTATTTGGAAGAAAAATCTACTAATGGGTAACAGTGTTTAGGGCTAGGCTACCGCACTGTTGTTACAGATATATCAGTCAGCACTTACTGAGACAGAGTATCAGGCCAGACAATTAATCTTCTAAACTCCTGCTGTATTGAAACCCAGACCATTATCAAGGTGGTTCTTCACACTGGAACAGTACAACAACACTCCAGACACAGCCCATGGACCGAGGGCCCAGTGTGGCTGCTACTGCTTGGCAGTGCACTGAGCAGTAACCAGACACACTTTGTTCCTTTCTATGAAATAGCTACTGCAAAGTAAAGGTCAATAATGTGTGAGGGGCCGACAGCTCAAGGGTGCATCTCACAGTCTGGTGACAGGCTCCTGCACATGCGCTTATTCTTTAAATGCATGAGGTTAAAATCGATGTCCTGCACTACAGTACTACATACACCACCCCACCAAGCAAACACCAAGATCACCAAACTGCAAGGAGGGAAAAAAATACTGAAGAAACAAACTAAAAAAATCCAAAGTTTACTAAAACAATGCAGGTTAACTGTGAAAAGAGAACAGCTGTAAGTGATTGAATAAAAATGTAAGGGAACTTTTCACTACACTTCTCTTATTCCAGGATTTTACAATCTTTCCTCTTCCTCATCCTCCAAAAAATTACTAAATAAAAAAATTCCATATAGGTATTAACTTAAACCAACTGGACTAGTAATTTAATAGCTGAAGAGGATTCTTCAGTGCACAGAAGATCTGGAGATGTTGGCATCTCAGGAGAAAGCTGTATCACCATTCTAAGCTAACCTGCATGATTTCTGGGTAATCTTTTCTCTATTTCTAAAAGGTTAATTCCAAAATTTGCAAGTTCAGCTTCCTCCAAGAAAACTCATTAACAATCTTTTTGATTGTTTGTTTGCTTCTCCTCAATGTTTTAAACAACTGCACTTTCTGTCACATTGTATCCACAGGATGGCGTGATTTACATTTATTCTTGGTTTCTTTTCATTTTGTCATTGATTTTATACTGTTGTGTTGCTGGATTTTAGCATCTGCACCATCCCAGTCCTTGGAATGATGCTATTAAGAAAACACCAGCACACTTGCTTATATATATACATGTATATATACTATTATGACACATTTGGGCTACAGAGACATACAATATTGACAAAGAACGTGAAGAAGTCTACCTGTGTTCATCTCACGTGACAAGTGGAACGCAGACTCTTTCCTTCTTTCCACGTAGAATAAGAACTGCTAGGCACTTGTAGCACCTACCTAAATGAAAAGCATAGGGTAGGCCTGAAAACTGCAGAATTACACAAAACTTACTTCAGTTTTACAGGTTAAAACCAGATATGCATATTGGAAAATATTAATATGATATTTGATAAGAGACTTTAAATATCAGAGTTCTAGTCAGATTCAGCCTTGCTACATTATTGCCTGTTTAAATGTAAATTCAAATAGTGGGTTGGTTTATTTTTTTTCATAGACATGCTTTTCATGGAACTTGGAAAACAAAGGTTTTATATGTAGGAACCATCTTTCATGAGAGATGAAACCACTATATAGGTTATGCTTACATGAAATCAAACATGAGGCTTCATGTATAAACTCCATGCAAATAAGGTAATAATACATCTGAAAACACTAGGAATGATCAGGCTTATTTTTAAGAAAGCGGACATTTGGAGCACTGAAGATTGGCATTTGGAGAGTTTGAACTCTTAGTCCTCCAGGGAAGGCTTGCCACTCTCAGAATAGAACTGCCCATCTTTTTAGAAGGTGTTGTGTCAAACTGTACAGTACACAGATCCTAACATCTCCAGCTTAAATCTATAAGCAGTTGAATTTGTCAAGAGTAACCATTAAGCTGTGAATAGTCTCATTTTTATGAGTGTAACATATTTAACTTTTGTGGTCTTTAATTAATCCTAGATATAAAAAGCTTCTTAAGTACCTCTTATTTACCATGATGTATCTCACATCTGTTTACTAAGTGAAAAACACTATAAAAATACAAATTCTGCATAAAATGGTTTGTAGTTGAGAAAGTGCATGGCAATAAACTAGTTTGAGAAGCCAAATATATGCAGGTTTAAAACAATTCCTTTTGTATACTGAGAAATACAGGAGAGCTTTCTGTCCAAGTTGCTAATGGAGACAATTTTAAATAGACCTTTCTTGCGGTAACAGCAGTTAAAACTACTTAGCTCTTTTCAATTCCCACGGGATGAATATTGACTGAGTAATTACAGCTATAATCTTTTTCAGTCTCTTTACAAAAGTTTTCTGCAGAATTATGTCATTAAGACAGAGCTTACTGTATGTAACGTGGCTATAATTCAATTGTGCTTAATGGCTCCAACCTACTTAATTTTACCCATTTTCCTTTGTATTTGGAATTTCATGAATGTTTTGTCACAGAAGTTTATGAAATAGATGACAAATAGAACATCAAATTTTCATTTATACATATGAGGATACTGACTTAATGGTAAAACTACGGGAAACATCTAGATGCCTATGAAGAATCAAAAATCTTTTAGAGAAAACCCCCTATTTTTTAATTTAAATTCCACGTCTTAAGCACTGTGACAATGTATATTTTTGAAATCTGTGTAAGTCTGAAGTACGCTTGCCTCTCACTCTGCTCTCCTTCCAAATAAAAGAGACAGTTTTATACATATCTACAGTATTTAATAAAGGTGTCCAAACCAGCAAAAGTTTTTACATAAATGTTTCAGCACTTAAAGAGGAACATTTAATTTGCTCTCAGCTCAGACAGCAAAATTAAATGGAAACATAACAGCCTTCTGCAGAGAGAATGCATTAAGCTATTTCTCTCTGTGGGGAAAGGCAATATCTTAATATGATGATTTAACAAAAACAAATTTAATTCAAGCAGTTACTAATTCTATCCTTATTTAAATACTTAAATGTTTGCCACCTGACTGAAAAATAATCAGCTTCTTTTGGAGTCTGCATTAGTATTTTTTAACAAATCATTGAAAGTTATTCAATAGAGTTTTCTACAAATTGATTGGCTACATACATTAAGGAAGTTAAATACACATGAAAGCTACCAGCTACAAGTACCTCAAAAATAGTACACATTTACAGATTATACAGGGACCAGAGTGCAAATGTCAAGAGAGAATTGTTTTCAAGGACTAAGTTACTTACAACACCCATTTTTACATCCTAAACAGAAGGCTGTAGGCAAAAAAAAATTTGATTCTTGTATTTAGAAATCTCTTTGAAGAGCTTCTTGACCACCTAAAAACATGAACTGTTGCTTCATGTATTAATGTTATCACTTTTAATTATGGCATATAACTTGCAGTGTCTGCCTCCTCTTTTTTTCTTTTGAAGAATATAGAAGTTCAGAAACTGCTCATATAAAGAACAGAAATACTAGTTGTATTCCCATATGGAATTATAATGATTTTAGATTCTTTTATGTCTTTTGAAGATATTTCTGTAAGCAAAATATGAAAGCAGAAATCCATGTCAGTCTTCAGAAAAAGCTTTGGGTTATAGTAATTTTGTGAAAATGCTTAATTTTCTTCTTGCAGCATTTCTTCTATTTCTTTATCCCAGTTTTCATCACGCTTTTCCGATTCTGTCACCACCTCATACTCTTGAAGCTCTTGTTGTAATTCCTTTTCCCAATCAGCAGTTTCTTCTACAAGAGATAAATAATGTGTAAGAATTTAATTGATAACGTATAATGTTGCTTATTATTATAAAAGCAGATGAATTTGCAGTGCACCTCTCTTGTATTTCCTAAACTTTATTGACAATTCTCCTTAAAAACTAAAGAAACTTCAAGATCAGAAATTTCACCTTCTTATTGATCACAAGTAGGAATTAAGTAATATATAAGTCTATATTCCTATGTGCATACTATAATAAAGATCTAAAAAGCAAATACATAGCTAAGTTGTTATAAGCATCCCTTTGCAACATCATTTCCTACAGTCTTTCAGTCTGCTATCAACTGAATCAAGTTTACACTTTTAAATCTCCATAAAATATGAAGTTCATAAATGTGTTTATATGCTGTTATGGAAAAAAATAAGATCAAATGCTGTGCCTAATTTAAAACAAAGAAGCAGGTATTCTCCTCACTGGCATTTGTAGCTAGGCAAGCTCATTTAATCAGGGTTAAAGGTAATCATATTTCATACTTCAGGGCAAAAAATGAGTCAGAAGGCATTACAGTGTTATTAATCTCTGTTTTAATTAGCTCTACCTATCATAGGCAAGAGTGTGGGGGAGGAGATGGGTGTTTGATGTTGGTTAGTACTTCAGCCTAGATACAAAGGTACGCAATTCCATAGTCCAAGTCAGTAAGGTCAGCTGAGATTTCTCTGAACAAATAACAAATTAATAACTTACTGAAACACTTTCATCAAAGAAATAGATGCAAGAATCTGATTTTACTCATAAGAATTCCTCAAACTTGGCTACATATTGGAAAAAAAGAATTCAGAAAACAATGATGCAGAAACATCCAAAGCACATTGTAAAATGAATTCTGAAAATTGTGGTGAATTACCTCTTAAGCATCTACATATACAAGCATCTTCATAGTAAATTGTTCATTGTGTATGGCCAGAGTTCGATCATCACAGACTGTTTTTTATGCTCTTTACACTAATATTAGTTCTTCTGAATTATTTTAAGTATAAGCTCCACCTAATTTCTTCTTATCATTCTCAGAACTATTTGTTAAATTTTAAGTGTTCCAAATGCCTCTAAACCTTTTAGAGCAGAGGCCTCTGCAAGCTCATAGTCTGGTGCAAATACTGCCTTTTTAGCTGGTGCCACAAGAAGAAAACAGAGCCTGACTACCAAATACTGTACTGTACCTACAAGGATGTCAATTCAAAGGAAACAAAAAACTGTACACATAAGAACCAATGAAAGAGAAGGCAGGGAAAGGAGGAGATACACAGGAAAAAATGCCCCATACTCACTTTCATGGAAGAGTGACCTAAAATTTCTTAGGTGCTTTGGATTTAAATCCCTCATAGCTAACATTCTGTGTAAGACGTGGTTTGATTGTGGTGAAAATTATAATTAATTTCTGCAATCCCTCATTGTATACACTTTGAAAAATTTGCTAAATTCTCATTTCATATACTTTGAAAAAACTGTCACAAATCTACTTCTCTAAATTGAATTACAATTTTTTTTTTAAAATCAGCCTTTCTTAGAATTGCTCTACTTAAGACACAGAGGTAATAATAGCTTTACCTTCTACTACTGAAGTCTCTTCTTTCTTTTTGTCGAGCACTAGTTGTTCCATTTCTTTTCTTAGGTCTTCCTGATTCAGATTACAGGTATCAAAAGCATCACTCACAAATTCTGATACTCCTGGACTTGTGGAAATCTCTTCCTCATCCTGCAGCAAGACAGTTTAGTATAAACTTATCCAGACAGGGGAAGAAATGTCACCAACACATATTTCCGTTCATGTGACTGCTTTTAAATAGAGTCAGCAAAAAACAAACCAAATGCGTTTTTCTGACAACTATTTTTCTTTATGGGATACTTTTCTTTAAGAGTATTTTTGTACAGACAAAAACATTAGATAGTTGTACTGAAAATGATCTGCTTTGCATCCTAGGCTGCCTTTTTGTGTTCACTTAACAACTTTAATTCTGTTTTTGTAATCTTCAGAAACAATAATAAATTCATAAGCAGTTTACAACAGGACCTAAGATTAACATTAAAAATTTGACCACAATTCAGTAACAGTTTTCTACACAGGAATAAGATTAAGAGAGGACTGTTCTTTGAAATCTTTGTAGCTTAATTTAGTCCCCTGCATACTATTGGCAAGTGAATGCACAGCTCTGCTTCTGCCAAGAGTGTTCTCTGGCACAGATTTTACAATCCAGAAATGAACAAGGGTCATTACATGCCTGTGGTACAGGTTTCTGCAGTATCAAGTAAAAGTGCAATAAAACAATGTTGCTATTGCAATGCATCATTTAGATTTCCTATACTCCAGCCTGACCACTGCTGAAGAGTTGGAGAGAACATGGCACATAAGTACATTTTTATGAAGGTACTCCTCATGTCTAAATACAATGCTAACCTTCTACTCCAAACATTTTGGAAATGTCACTCTTGGGAGGAAAAACATTATAACGTGCAAGATACTAATGAAAGCATTCTTCAGATAAATTACTGTTTCTTCTAATGAAAATCAGTTTCAAGATTATACGCTAAAAATTATCATCACAGCAAAAGAGCAGCAGGTTAGGACTGTCAGATACTATATTATTATGGTTTCACAGCAAAACTTACTCAAAAGGATGCATAATTACCTACTAAGGAACAGCTTCACATATTAAATACCAGATAAAATATACCAGCATTTTTACCTCTTGAGATTTTATTTGAGGCTTTATTGTAACAGGTGGTGTTTTCGGTCGTACTGTTTCTATCAAGGGGGAGAGAAAAAAGGTAGATTACATTTAAATATGTAAAAATATCATTTAATCTGTATGTCTATTAAATATACAGGGAAATATTCCATTTTAAGATTTGAGGAATCCTGGTGGTTAAAGGCTGAATTCAACCATAGGTGAAGCATTTCAAACACCAAAATGGAAGAGAAGCAATTTACTATTCTTAATTAAGGCAAATTTAGCAAACCATTTCCTCAATATGACTCCAAAGTTAAAAGACAGGAACACCTCTGACACTCAAAAGGATCCAAAAAATCATGCAGATAGGAGCAGTTGGGAATCTGAGAGAATGTCTTCTATAAAACACTTACAGATGGCACCACATGCCACAAGATCTTTCAAATTACAAATAAGTAGACTTGGTCATGAAATTCAGTTAATGTCTACCACAGAAGTTCCCAAACTCACCTGGCTGGGTACTACTACTACTGACATGGCAAAGGAAGTAATTGAAAAACATAAACCATAGAAGCTGGTTCAAATTTCCTAAGAAAATTTGCTGTGCATTCTGTATTTAGTAGCATAGTGCTAGAAGACAACGACTGTTTACAAGCAAGGATACATCTTCTTCCTGGCAGGTAAAGGAACACCCCAACTTTCTTCCTTGTGCAACTATCAGGGTAGAGTTACAAAACAGAGCCAGGTGGCTGCAAGAACAATTAACATACAGGGCAAGTTATGGTAGCAATGGGCTGCTTGCTTAGCAGTTCTGCTTGTTTAAATATGCAAAGCAGCTCTGAGCTCACAGCTCTGCTTCCTGCTGTGTGCCCAGGTGGACCCCTCCTGCTAACTCAGCAATTTCAGAACAGGGAATTTCTTTATGTTTAGTTTTTAAGATTAAGATCAGTTTTAATTAAAATAATTTCCCAATTGGTAGCTATCACTGCTTTTACAGCTCATCTACCCAATGCCCACTGCTCTGTCCCATCCTCTCTCTTACACTACAATGTGGAACATCTTCCATTTGTTTCTTTTTTTTCCTTTCACATCAACCACGCCAATTTAACTTTCTGAAAAGAGCAGCCAAGGAGGAGACAGAGAGACATAAAAATGGAAGGCTAACAATTCTATTTTATAGACAGTCAGCTTTAAGAAGAAACACTGAACATTACGAAGAATTACCAACAGGCAATTACTTCCAGTTTTAGCCTCTGATTAGGGAAACCAACCTTCAAAAAGGTTACTTAAGCCAAAAATAACATGGATGATTCAGAGCTTCCCAAATCTATGCAATTTCTGAATGAAACAAAACATGTATTTACTGCAGACTAGTATATGTATCTTTTCCATTACAGAATGTAGTCATTATGACAGTAAATCTATTTGCATGTCCTACACTGTATGGTGGTCTAAACTGTATGAGAGCCACAACAGGCCAAAAGACAGTGGTTTGGGTTATTTTAAACTGAAGATACGTTTTGGTTTAGTCACAATGGAAATTTTACTAGAATCTAGCAACTTTCACTTTGACTGGCAATTTCTAAGGGTTTGGATGACTCAAACATTACATTTTTGTTGTTCAACAGGGTCAGATGCCATCTCTCCTGTAGAGTTGAGACACTTCAATTAAAACACCCATAGTTTTGGACAGCAGACCACTGTCCTGAATAAAAGAAGTGGGAATTGGTGCCTCTTGGTTTGCAGTAGATGCTGGAATAGCCTGTCTTGTCAGTGCTCTTGGATATTAACTCAGAGAAAACTACTTTTTTCACTCTAGATGGGGACCTTGCCTAGGCTGACACAGGCACACTCCAAACAGAACCTATGAGAAACAGATGAGAAAAACTGACAACAAAGGTGCACACACACACACACAAAAGCTTGAGGAAGCTACTACAGTCCTTTTCAAAAAGGTATCTTCCATGCAATATACAAGACCAGCTCTGAAATTCCATTTGTAACCTCCCCTTCATCCCAAGGTGCAGCTGCCAGTGTCCAAGAAGCCAAGGCCCAGCTGACTAATCCTAGCTCAAACAATGCAGAAAATTAGTAAGCTGTGCAAAAGACCTGTGAGAAAGCCTGTAAAAAAAATAAGGAAGGAGACATTAGAAACTGAGGTAGGAGCAGAAAGATGGGACCATTGGCAGTGCAAGGACTCAAGAGGAAAAATACTACGAAAGCTATTGTATTTGAAAGGGGCAAAAAAGAAGTCAACTTGGCAGTGATCAGCTGGCTGTCAGTCAGGCCAGCATGTCCACATGACAGGACATGAGTATTAATGGATTTCATGGATGACAACAATTTATTCATACTGGGGATATGAGAATCTGTTCCAAGGTGCAGCAAAAGCTTTCTCCTGCCCAATTTCTGCCCAGCCTGCCAAGAATCTTCAAGTGTCTTACCAGAGCTGGTGAGCCCACCTTAACTTAAGCTAAGATTTAATGAACTACTGGTTATCTTTTGCATCTTTGCCACTAACTGCTTTCTACTCTTTAAGCTGCTTATATTCCTGCTCGCAGAACTTGTTTGCATGCAGATAAAGAGGCACAGTGGTTCATAAGAGGGTCAGTAAGAATCATCAGTATAAAATGAGCAATTTAACTAAAGACATCTATGTTGAAGTGGCTTTTTCATCTCAAGACTGAATCCCAGGTAACCTCCTGGTCCCTGTTTTTTCCCATTTCTGTAATACATTGTGGGCCTTTCCACACCCTGCATGTCTCTGCCTCCACCACCACCGAAATTCTACCTCTGTATCGCTCGCTAATTTGTTTGGTCTGAGGGATAAGCAAAAGCCAAGAGCAAACTATATGCCAGCTGGCTGGGTTGGCTAGTTGTCTGACCAAGTGAATCAAGTCAAAAAAAGCACACCTGAGACCACTAGTGGTCATGAGCTGTTATAAGCCAAGTACAGCGTTTCTCCTCTTGAGATTTCCATTCCTCTGACATAGTTAGCTGAAGCTGGAAAACAGCTTGAAAGCACTAGGAGCTTCTTCTTCCCCATGCTACACAAACACACCAAGTACTGTGAGAGAAGCCCTGATTTAATAGGAAATCCAGGATAAAAATTTGATGGCATCTGATGTATTCAGTGAGCATGCATGACAGTAAGTTAATGAGCTTGCTAAAACAAATGTTTCCAGTACCTTTTAGTTCACTATCCTCTTCTCTGCCTTTGCTCTCTTCTTTTCCTACTGCTTGCTGTTGAGCTGCAAGTGCAGTGAGTTGTGCAGACTGTTTAATTAAGGACACCCTGTAGAAATAATTTCTCCAAAACACCTCCTCCTTTACGCTAGAGAGAAGAAATAGATTTTGATTACTGCACTTGGAAATATGGTTCCTTTTACCATCTAGCAATGAAATAAAACAAAATATGCAGAGAGAAGGAGTAGACATAGCTGCTATTTAAGTAAAAACTTAAAAAGGGAATTTGTGATATTAACACATTTTAAGAAATCCATCATTGTAGAATTTCTTGATCCCTTACAAGGCAGTTGCAATGGACTTGAACATATAATAATAATGTTACGACTTTAGAAAAAACTTAACAGCATGCAGCAACACATAGTATGGAAAAATGTTGTGCTATTCCATCTCTCTTGACAAATTATGTAAACTAACCCAACAAGCCAAACAACCCTGTTCTCTTTATTTCCTCTCTAAACTCAACATTCTGTTGTTGTCAAACTATATTCATCTACATCTTCCCTAGACATCAGGTGGAACACCTTTGATAGCAGAACTATTTCACTTAGTTTACGTCTTTCAGTAACCTTTAGTAACTAGAAACTGACATCCCAGAAATGACCAGCTTTGAAAAGTGGGAAACTATCCCATATTTCAGGTAATATTTCCCTCTGAAATCCCTCCAGGAAGAAAGAAAAGATGCAGCTTTAACCCAGAGGCAAGAAAAGGCAGAAATGGTATGACCTGTGGGGAGGAAAGTATGTAGGTTAAGAGAGAAAGAGAGAGAGAAAGAGAGAGAGAAAGAGAGAGAGAAAGAGAGAGAGAAAGAGAGAGAGAAAGAGAGAGAGAAGAAAGGAGGAGAGAGAGAAAGATGAGAGAAGAAGAACCTCGAGAGAAGAAGAGAGAGAAAGAGAGAGAGAAAGAGAGAGAGAAAGAGAGAGAGAAAGAGAGAGAGAAAGAGAGAGAGAAAGAGAGAGAGAAAGAGAGAGAGAAAGAGAGAGAAATGACCACTGAGACTAAGAACAGGGGGAAAAAAACTATTAAACAATGTGGTAGAACAGGCAAGGACAGCATGACCAGAGGCTGGAGACAGAGCATCAGACACAGATCTGATGAACATCTAGAATATGGGCAGATCTTCAGGACTGAAAGCAGGGAAAAAGTAAATAGAAGGCGGAGCTAGGGTGGTTTATAAAAGGTGGAAATTTAAAACAGAAAAGGTCACAAAGAAAGATGTTTTCTGTTTTCATCTGTAGACAAGGAGACTAGTGTTGAGAACTCCCACTTCAAAATAATGTTGACTTTTGAAACGAGCTTTAGGAGCAGAGTCTGGGACTGGACAAGGAAGAATAGTTAGGGAATAAAGCTGTGACCAAGAAGGCCGTAACTGCTCGGACAAAGACCTTTGGATCTTTTAGTTAGGTCCACTAGAAGGAAGGCAGTTCAACGCAGAGCTTTTCCCATTGCCTGTTCGAACCCAGCTTTTCTTGCTTGCACTGCTGCCACTTTGTGACATATTCTTTTACCATTTCTCCAGTGGGGTCTCTGACTATCTGTAACCACCTTTTTGGGGTGTCAATTACACCAACAGATCTGAACATTTTTGTTGTTGCATTTACCTTTGTTTGGGGGAAAAAAATAATTTTAATTTAGCACATCGGACATGGAAAAATTGAAGGCCTTTCCCATACTTAAGTTAACAGGTCCTTACTGGTTCTGAAGGTGTAATAGATGTACTTCTGTTCTTTCCTCCAACTGCTAAACTTCCATGAACATGCAGTATTCCACACATTTGACATTAGCAGATAAAAAACATACATCGGAAGAACACAAAGAATTGCAGGAAGTGAAAAGAACAAAGAGTAATTTACGGGTATTTATGGAAACATTAAAAGTATGATGATACATAGTTACCAGCAGAAATTACTTACTGTTTGGGAACGAGATCAAACCTCATCCTATTGAGAAGTTCATCTTCTTGTAACATCACCAGTGCAACAGGGTACATTTGATCAAAGTCAAAATTAAACTGCACACCTGCTGGGGGATCCCGCAGAAAGTTCCGTTTGTCCTTTGAAGAACATATTTATGGTCATTAACTGATATTGGACAAAGGACACTGTATTTCACATGCAAGATCAGACAAGCAGTGAAACCTTTACAAAAATAAAAATTATACCGAGGATCTGCTGTGGCTCAAGTCGAAACTGATAGAACTATTTACTATTGCACATGATCAGCACAGTCACACACATATATTAGAAGTATATTGAAAATACATAATTTAATGCCAACCAAACTCACTTAAAAAAAAAAAAGAGAAGCTTTAATCTCTCAAAGAGAAGATTTCAAATCTTACAGGAAATTAAATACTTACTGCTGATAAGGCCAATATTTGTTGTTGAATTGTTTCTTCTTCATTGCTGTCTACCCAGGGAGGCACTGCAGCTTCTGTTATTGAGAGGAGGAAGATAATTCCATGAGTATTACTTGAAAAAAAAACCCCAAACAACAAAACAGACCTTACATAAAGTAACATATAGTGTCACAAAAATAAGCAGAGTTATACCATTAGTCCTATTCATAGTTCCTTTTTCTTAAATTAAGTTTATAGCATGAGAGAGAAGCTGTAGAAATGGATCCTTACTTATCAGAGGTAAAAAATAATAATTAAATAGTTGCTGATTTCCGTTGTTGTAAAAATAAAACTGTGGGGATTTCTTTGCACCAGTCAGAACTTGGTGCCTCTTAGTTTAGTTACTGAAGTAGTGCTGTATGACCGGCTAAGCTGTCTGCAAATAGCATTTCTTGATTCACTCTGAATGTGTAAACTTTGTCTAAATTAAGTTTGCAAAATAATTTACACCCAGAAGACACCAATTCTTTAACAATGGAGAAAAAGATTATAAATTTGTTATAGATTACATCATGTTATACACTGAATAAGCCCACTCGAGTTCAGCTGATTTACATATTTAGGTAGATACTTCCAAAATAGTTCTGTATAGGCTGTATAGAGAGGAAAGTAAACTATTGTAGATGTATAGATATTTATTCATCTTTTCACTGTCAATGCAAATTCAGCCTACAGAGACAACAGGATGCACCTGTAACAGTTAACTTATTACTCTTGTGCCCTTAAACTAACAATGTTTCTTTGCCTGTGCACCTGATATCAGCAAGATCTTTCACCCACATGGATTCCCTTCTGATGCTAATGCTTCTTGCAGACAGGTCATCTGTTACTCCTCCTTTGGCCAATCTAACTACCTATTTTCATAAAGCTTGTAGAAATACATTAAGAGATGCCAAAGTTTACTAACAGAGACAAAAAGAATTACAGACAACAAGATCACATAAGCAATCTTGCAAGAAGAAACCAGACTAACATACTAACTATAAACACCAGAAAAAATTTTATCACAATCCATGTAAAACAGCTCATTTTAAAGATTAACAATAGAGTCACTAATTACTGAAACTGTCAGAAATTACCGCAATCAGGTAAGACATTAAAATAGATAAAAGTCAATGATGAAACTCGATGTGAAAAAACAAGTGTGCTTATTTTAAAGGCTTGAATAGATCCACTGATGTTAATAGTATATGGGTGGATAACTTAAAGAATTTAGATCACAGATAATTACAAAGCAAATGATTTATGGGAAAGCAAAAGAGCAATTATGTCTTTAATGTAAGCAGAGTAACTCCTAAAGCAAAACTAATTAAATACTATAGTGCAAACCCTAACCTATGTTTTTAATTTCATTATGAAAATGTGACATTATTGCTAAAGCTCAGAAGAAATCAGCATGCCAGTTTTCAATAAATACACAGGTTTAAGACTCAAAACAGCAGCAACAGATCAGCTCTGCATTAGCACAGTGATCTTTGAGGTAATTTCATAAAGCTGAATTTGGTTAAAAAAGCAAGATAATGTAATACTAACCTCACTTAAAAATATCATCTTCCTATTGCACAATATGCATTAAGTTGTGCCATAACGTGTTTCATTAAACAGAGCTTTGATAGATTAGTTTTAGATGTACCTCAACTACACAGCTTCCACCAGGTTTTCACTTATGTGATGTTAGGCACTAAGAAAAAAAGCATACATTACCTGATTTTTTGGTTTGCTGCTCTTGGACAAATTTTTTCTGTTCCTTCTGAAAATCTCCAATAATTGTCTAAAAAAAAATTAGGGAACCACAATAAAAAAAAATTCACTCCCCTTGTTTCACGTTCACTCAGCAAGTGCTTTCAAATACAGTGCAGAACCATATTCTTATATTTGTGGTAGCCCTTTTTGTAAGGTGAAGGTGTTTCATGTCAGTCATACATTTCCCTTTACCGAAACATTTGATTTTGCATTTAAGAAGTTATAACTATTGTGTATGCTTTCAAAATTATAGTTTTATCAAATTAGGAGGACAAGGAAAAAAGACTAGCTGATAATTTGAACACTGGCATACTATGCATATCCACTTACTACCTTATCATATCAAATATGGACAACACAGACTGCTTAGACTTATTTAAGCATGTTTTAAAGCACTAAACACCTAAAGATACCCTTGGCCTTACAGTAAGTTTCAAGAGTTGCCTAAGAAATACATCCATTGCAGTAAACTGGACTTGCAAAATTGTAAAGCAGAATTTTCAGAATGTCTTCTTAGCTGAAATAACTTCTCCATTTATGTTGTTGACGAATTTTCATTAAAAAAATTACATTCAGAAATATCCTATATTGAATTTAGAATTAAAAATTGGAGAATGGTCTCAGAATATGGCATGCCATAATCTAGAAGTAACAATACAAATGTGCTGTAGTTGAAAGCAGAGGCAAAAAACCATAAAGCTAGAAACGAATATTTAAACCACTCGCAAAATACAAATTTTATGCAGTGAGATCTATGGCTTAAAAAGCTCCCCAAAAGCACACAAGTCTTCAAGCTAAATCCTGATAAATTCCTATAATTCTTTTTCCTTCAGCAACTCAGTATTAAATTAACAGATAACCTTCTTACTTGATTTTTTCTTTATTATGTGGATCAAAAGTACATTAGACTCTAATATACTGTAGACTGTGGTCAACGAAATCTGAAAACAAAATGTGATCATAATGGAAATTCAGAAGTGTCATTTAATGATTTATTTGGAAGACAACATGAACACTAATTACATCAAGAAATTGAATTTCATCGTATTAAAAAAATTAAAAAAAAGGCAACATTGTAATTCCCCTGAAGGGCTGTCAGAGACAGGAGAAGGAAGAGGGATCTGGATGCATCTCCCCTCAGACACTCGTGGAGGCACAGTCCTACTGCAGCTGCATTGGTTTTGGCCAGTTCCCTTTCCCTTCCCCTTTCCAAGCTACCCTCAGTAACAAACACAGAACACTACATAGCACTTATTGCCTTTTTTTTCCCCTTTTGCCAAGTTTGTGACTTAAAGCACTGGAAGAACACTCGCTGGCAGAAGTTAACTGGAGCTGGCAGCCAGGAACACAGAGGGCAAGAGATAAGTGGCAGGGTCAGGGTGGGTAAAAGAACAGGACAACAGCAAGGTGTTTCATGAGCTCACTGGCTCTTCTGAAACTGTACCTGTATAGCTCTCGGGTTTTAGGATTTAATAGCCACTGAGCTAATTCTGACTCTTGCTTCAGAGATGCACTTAAGATGCAAGCTACAGCATTTCTTCTTCCAACTAAATAAACTGGGGGGGGAAAAACTCAGCCCACACATCTCTAGACAGACATTCCCCCAACTGCTTGTCTCAAATTCTTCCAGCCCTTCCTCCTAACGTGTCATGTAGGAATATGCACAGTCAGCATTTCCCATATTTTCTTTTGGTGTGTCTCCAGCGTATGAACATCCTGAAGGAATGGAACACAGGTGCAGTACTGAGTAAAGCAGGGTGACCATTTTTTGGCAGGTCTACCATGACTAAACATTTCAATCACATCATTCATCATGACAGGAGATGCACAGTATCTTTTGAAATACATAATGTCTTAAGACAGCTTAAAGAAAGGTTATCACATGCCAGATTTGCCACATGTTATAACAACAGTAAGCAAACAGATTTTTCAGAAAGGTACCTAGAAATAAAATACCTTATCAATGATACTGTCAATTTTTCCTTCTTCTACAGACTTCTTTATTGTCTGTGCTGTTTCAGCAACGGATTCGGATATCTTTTTTGTAGCAGCAGTGGCAAAATTGAAGAGGTAACCTTTCACAGAGAAAAAAAAGACCTCAGAAAAGATCTCTTTACATCCAGTTCTTTTACTAGATTTATTTTTCCTTCTCTTTAGACATTTGCACACCTACTTAAAAGTTTCTTTCAAAATAACTTAACCCAGCTTCTGGCCTACAAAGAACTCTTAAAATTCTATTTATCCTTTTCTAGTATATATTCTTTAATGATGATGATCAAACTCTATGCTCGATCACAACATTTTGTAAATCAAACTTTCATACGTGAACCTTGTTTACTAAATCAAACATTCCTACTGGTCCTTTAAATACTGTTTTCCAATGAATTTTTTGAAGCAATGGGTCTTTCCCGATTTCATATAAGCATTTCAGAGACATGAAGCAATAAATTAACTTAGCCACAGTATTAAAACAGCACATATTATTGTATATAATAATAATTTTATAATATATAATTTTATATTAATAATTATATATATATTTTAAAAAGAAAACCAAAATGCACAATAAAATCTCATAAAGTGAAGCAGAAAGTCCTTGAAAAATTTCATGCAAGTAACACTTGATATTCCTTCAGAAATCCTAACATACAAGCTTGCTCTTGATGCTTGCTCTTGATGTTTGCCCTTACCTATTTTGCATTGTTTTCCTCTCTTTATCTCTATGGAAAGCACCATGGCCCTATTCACTTATTTTTCTGAATATATTCAGTGTCAAAACAGCAGTGACAAATATTCCCAAAGACTCATATTTTTTGTATTAGCTGAAGTGAAGAGAGGTGGCAGGGAAAGAACTATGTAGTGTGGGCATCTGCACTGTATTATTGGTTTTTAATTAAGGAGAACAAACTTGCAAGCAGCAAGATGTATTTCATAAACCTTCAGAAACAGAAGAACCTTCCTTCTCAAGACCTCTCAAAACATCCAGTTTCCTTATGGGTTAGAAATGTAAGAAATAGTCTTACCATGCAAAAAAAAAAAGTGAGTTCCTTTAACACATGGTTGTTAGTCGCTGGTAGAATGAGTTACTTTGGAACACTGATGTCACCTTTTGGAAAGCTGACTGGTTTTGTGGTGTATAAAATATTGTCTTTGCTATGATATCACCAAATCAATACTGAAATATGCAGAGGTCTAGCCAGCCTTTAAGCAAGCCAGGTTTTTATATGTTACTTCTGTTTATAGGCCACAGAATGGTGGCAACCAAACATCCTTGAAGTACTTGCCAGCATCTTTCATATCTGTTATATGGCTTTACAACTCATCACATGCTTCACATACAAAAAGATGCTTAAGTTCTACACTTTAAATATAAATACATATACTATTCCCCTTACAAGAGTAGAGGAAGCAGCAGCCTACTGGATTGCTTACTCCGTACCAGCTTTTATTGGTTGTTTCATGTATCCCTGGAAACTTTCCCATATAAAATTGTGTTAGGTGCAAAAGGTGCATTTGCTTTCTGGTGACATTCTGATGTTGTTGGACAAAGTAGTTCTGGCCAGTCCTGGAACTGGGCTGAAGAGCAAAATACTTTTTATTTTCATTAAGGGTAAAGATATTTTTGAAGTAAGGTACTTCTAAAACCTCACTATGAGGTGGCACTTAGCCTTAGAAAAATAGAATTCGTGGTGGAAAACAACACTTCCACTTTCAAATGACCAAAAAAGTTACCCTCCATCTTATAAATCTATGCCTGTATTAAGAACATGTATGTAGCAATAATGCTATCATTAGTTCACGCTGGCAAAACTTTCATAACTTTTATAATGGCATGATAATGAGCAAAAAATAACATCTGTAAGGCTTTGGTTTTACCAGTAAAATGCTTTATGTGCCAGGGAAATTCTTTATGTCCCATCTTTTCTACATAGCTACCCTGTTTGTTAGCCGTGCAGATGCTTCTAGAGTCTTAAAACAGCAATGTCCAGATCTTTATAAAAAAGCTTTTCTACCACAACCTACCCTGGTGTCACGGACAAGGAACCCATGGATCACTAAACCAAATTTTCACTTCCAGAGCAAATTATGGGATGGACTTTAATATTGGTAACAGTCAACACTTATTCTTCCCCTGAAATTCAAAGTACTTTTTTCTTCCTGAACAACCAGAGCAATTAGCAGATTCGAATCAATTTACCACAATGAGACAGGACTAGTATTTGATCAATCTCCCCAGGCAAAACTGCTGCAGTTCAGATTGCCCAAGACAAAGCACAGTCAAGAACCATCTCAGATTGACCTCTCAGATTATACTGATCCAGCATTTCAGAGCATCCATTTAAAAAAACCCTTCGGTAACGAGTATAGATTGGTACTTTGGATTAATTTTATCTATGAATCTATAGTAAAGCAGGGATCTTATAGCAAATTACAGCTTTGCCCCATCCCTGGCAGTGTTCAGGGCCAGTCTGGACAGGGCTTTGAGCAACCTGATGTAGTGGATGGGTATCCTTGCCTATGGCAAGGGGCGTGGAATGAGATGATCTTTAAGGTCCCTTCCAACCCAAATCATTCTATGATTCTATGACAGACGAGTTCAACAAAATCATCAAACCTCATTATTTTCTTATGAAAAAAACCCACAACTCCCCACACCAATTCATGAAGTGCATTGATTCTATACAGACAGACTTATTTCTATCTATACAGAGCCCGCTTCCCACAGTGCCAACAGAACAGATACTTAAGGAAACGCAGCTGCCTTAATAACAACTCTGAAAGAAATGGCAACCGAAAGGCACGTTCGCAGCCGTTCACTCTGTTCACATGCCAGAGCAGCACCGGACACTCACTGCCGAGCCCCTTGGCCTGGCTGAGCAGCGCCTCCGAGTCCTCCTGCAGCTCCCGCCTGCTCACTTGCTCCTGCGCGTCCGGGACCGGCATCCTCCTCCTCGTCCTCAGGGACTGCTCCTCTTTCCCGGCGGGCAAGCAGCTGCTGTCCTCCCCGGCCCGCTGCCCCTGCCAGCGGCCCAGGCCGGCGCAAACATCTGCTGGGCTGCGTGGGCGGGGCCGCCGGCTCGGGGTCCCGGCGCTACTCTGCGGAACCGGGCAGGCCGCTCCGCGCTCGCTTCCGCGTTGCGCCACTCCGCCGGGAGCGCAGGCGGCGCAGTGTCAGCGATAGGAAAGCGGGAAAGGGCGGGTAGGCGGCGGGGCGGAGCGGAGCGGCGCGGGCGGGAGCGCGCCGCCACCTGTTCGCGCGTGTCGCGGCTGTTCGCGCGGGGAGCCCCGCGGGAAGGCCCGCGGCTGAAGCGCTGGGACGCTGGCCCGTCCCGCCCCGGCGGCGCTCCGAGGCGCTTCCCTGCGCCTCCCCCGCGGTTCGCCTGCGGTCCGGGGCCCGCGGCGGTTTCCTCAGTCGGTCGGCCCCCGGGGGCCCCGGTCGGAAGCACCCCGCCGTGGCACCCACGTAAGTCGGAGGCTTTCTTCCACCGCTCGGGGCCGCGGAAGCCCGACGCGCTCAGCGCGGGGGGCGGCTCCGTCCGGGATGGCCAGCGCCCCGCCAATCCCGGGCTGGGAGGGGCGGCTCCCGGGGATAAGGCTGGACGGAGTAACTCATGTGCCAGTTCCCGGCGAAATGATCTCTTCCTGTGTACGCTTTCAGCTCGCCCTCCCCTACTTCCCACTCCTTTTACAAGTGACTTCCGAAACCACGCGTAGTTCTCTGTTTCTATTGCGAGTAAACATCGCGTTTCCTGAGGCTGCTGGGAAATCGCGGGTTTTTTTCCTAAAATCACAGCGAGCTTTTAATTTTGGTTCCTGTAAGCAAGGTTTTAGAGTTCTGAGTTGGCACGTACTCAAGATTTATACTTATTATTAAAATTATCCCCACTCTTCCTGAAAAGAGCTTTGAAAATGGCTTAGATGTTCATGAAATGTGACAAGGGCATTAGCTGAGTTGTGAAGGAGTAGTCTAAAAGAAGTAATAGGCTCCAAATCGTAAAATCTGTGCTATTAGAAAAATTACAAATTAAAATTAAATGGCAGGGGAAAGTTAATTCCTGATCATCCTTTTCTCCTGAGTTAAATCCTTTTAATGGTTGTGGTCTTCCTTTTGTCCATATTGAAAAGCAAATAGTAGTTTATTTATTCCTATTACCATAAACGAAAGAGGATTGATAACAAACATTGATACATTTTTGAACTCTGTCTCCTGAAGATCCAGGCCTTATTTATGCTATTTCAGTATGGTAAAAGGAAGAAATACAGTGTTTATTCACTGACTTCTTCTTACTACCATCTGATGAAGAACTGTACTGCTTTGATTTATACTGAGTGCCATTAGGTCCCATGCAGTTTTGTGCTGTTTTGGATGAACTGGGTCCTTAAGTAAGGAAAGATTTTCCTGACCCTAGAGTTTTTGCTCTGTGGTGAGCCATGCTGTCATTGCTCAAAAATTGTTCCAGTGATTAACCTCCACAGCTGCCTGAATGGAATATGAATTCAATTGTGGAAGAGATACACACACCATCCTGTTTCAGGTGGGGTAGAGAAATGTAACTTGCAGACAATGAACATTAGTGTTTTCGTTTGCTAAAAAGTATAAATCGTGAATTGGTAATGGTCTTGTTGGCTTTGAGGATTTGCCACTCAGCACCCCTTTCTGCACAGATCTGGAAATAAATAAAATACAGTGACTCTGCATGTGGATCAACCTCTTGTGCACTGGGTGAAAGAACCTGTTTTGGGACAACATAGATGCTTAGCTTATGTATTGGTGTATAGGCTGGGAGAGGTGAATCCTGCTCCCAGATTCCAAAATGGTCATAGGTCATTTCAACTTTGATTCTTTGTAGACTGAGTCTGTGTTCTTCCCTGACATGAAATTGCATTAATCATAGGTACATCTTTGTTTTAGGTTTCCAGGTCAAAGTGTTTGTGTGTGTGTGCTGATTTTCCGATGAAGTACATCCTGGTGACTGGTGGTGTCATCTCAGGCATTGGCAAAGGGATCATTGCAAGCAGCATTGGCACCATTCTGAAATCATGTGGTCTACGTGTCACTGCAATCAAAATTGATCCTTACATAAACATAGATGCTGGAACCTTTTCGCCATACGAACATGGTATGAAGACTGGTGCTGCTCCCTTTTGCATGAATATATGTATTCACAGTAATGTGTTTTGGTTTTGTTTTTTAAAAGCCAGTAGTATGTAACTTATTAGTCATTTTAGAATTGTTTTGCAAGTTTATTGCTTACTGTATGTTCTGAAGCTCATTGTCTGCTCTAAGTAAAGAGGCAGAAGCCTGTTTGTTGAAGGTACTATTATGAGCAGATGCTTCCTTTCTATAAAATACCACCTTAATGGGAAAATCCTAGCTGAAAGCCTTGTTCAGTTAATGCTATGTTCAGCTCAACTTGATTAAAAAAAAATTAAATAGTGCTATAAAACTTATTTGAAACTTAAGTCCTCAACAGTTAGTTGTGAATTCTGTTCTCTGGATGTCAGTGGCTTCTAGTGTAAGTGCCTTCATAAGAATTAGCCTAAGTTCTCATTTTAGTCAGAGAGGATCTAGTCAAAAACATCAGTGAAGCTTAGAGAGCCAGGTAATGATAGAATTTTCAAGTAGATGCTTAGTTTGGTTGGTTAGCTGTTTAAGCCACCTTGGTTGTATTGACTGTGTTGCTGATGAGCTACAAGACAGTCTGACATGCATTTAAAATGTTGAATGTTCCTTCAGCTGTGTGGCTTTTTACTTGTACATTTATTAAAAGCAATGGTTTTCGAAGTACCTTCAGCCAATAGACATTTCTAATTACTGTTATTTTTGAACTTTATTTGCTTACTTTTAGTCCAGACCAAAATTTTTAAAACTGAAGATAAATGTGTATATCTCCTGAAATGAAAAAAGACCACTTTGCTTTTTAAGTGGAGGAAAAGCACAGCTTGTCAGACCTCTCTCAAAAAGCAAAATTTAACTAATGCAGTAGTTCTGCACTTTCAGGAGCACATCTGGTGTTACTTAGGCAGTTGAGCAGGTGTTAAAACTCCTGCAATGACTTGAGATTGTGAGGATGTATGTATTCCTTCCTTGGATCAGGTACAGAGGAGAGGGGACACTACGGCATATAATTCCTTTCTTCACTTAAGAGTTTCTTACTGCTCATGAAGAAAAACTGGCTTGCTGGGTAGTACATGGAAATTCACACACACCAGAATGGGGATCCTCTTCTGTTAACATTTTGACAGAAATATGATTGAGTCAAAGAACTTCAATTTAGCGATTTCCAGTTATTTAAAGAGTTTTTTTAACAATGTATTTTTTTTATTCTTCCAAGACCTGCATAAGAGAAATGTTGGTTCTGCTCTATATCTGTTGGCTCAAACCACTTGTTGGCTGAAATGATGACTTAATATGGAGGAGATACTAAGTGCCTCACAGAATCAGGCATAAATCTTCCACTCTGTTGTACACATTGGGATGATTTGTTAGGCTGTTCATTGAAGTTTAGTGTTGTACCTTGGTGGAATATATATTTCTGTAGTCCACATTATACCTTCATGGGAACTGAGGGGTTTTGTTGTTGTTTTGGTTTATTTTGGATGGGTGGTTGGTTAGTTGGGGTTTTTTGGGGGGGGCGTGTGTGTGTGCATTAGTCCTGTAACTTCCTTGGCCATTGCTTCATTGGGCAAAATATTTTACAGTTTTTCTGAAGACCTTTCCAGCCTTACCTCAAGATCTAGCACCTTTACTTCCTTCAGAAGTTGACTAGATTTAGAATTTAGAGACTCTTTAGAGGCCTAAGGAAAGTCTGAACCATAAAGATACTTTAGTTTTTTCAGTGTCAGAAATAACTCTCACTGTGGACACAGTGAACCAAATACACAGGATGGAACAACTGAATAAGAAACAGTGATCATGTTTGAAGAAACATATTCATCATAACTTTACTCCTGATCCATGCCTTAATCACTAGAATAGATCCAAAAAACAAGAATTTATGGTGAAACACTTTGAACATGTATAATTCTTGCTTATAAAAACACAGGTTTTGTCTCCTACAAGTAAATTGATATTTTGTTGCTGATTTATGATTCTTGGAGATTGTTTCCTTCTGATGATGGTTTGTAGTGCTATTGAAATGCTGGTTAAATATTTATAAGTCACTTAAATATTTTGACAATACAACTTTTATTTATTTGCAAAACTGTACTTGTCTGAGGGACAGACATTGGATGTAAAACTGATGACTTGGATATTAAGTCACACAGAATGGCAATATAGATTGGGTTGCAGTATGTGCTTTATTGATGTGTTGTTCTGTCATTTAAAAGAAAAATTCTTCTATTTCAAGACATTAGTGGTATTCCTGCTGAGTGTTTAATAATTTCTGATTTTTTTATTGTTTTTCTGTATGTTTTCACTTTCTTTTTTCAGGTGAGGTTTTTGTATTGAATGATGGTGGAGAAGTTGACTTGGATTTGGGAAATTATGAGAGATTTTTGGACATCAATCTCTATAAAGATAACAATATCACCACTGGAAAGATATATCAGCATGTCATTAATAAAGAAAGACATGGTGATTACCTGGGGAAAACCGTTCAAGGTAATATTTTTAATTTTGTTGGATACTAGTGCATTCAATCTTCACAAAAGAAGTGATCAGCTAGAACAGGCTGCTCCTTGCTGCACCACCTTACTTTCTCCCTTCCAAGAGAAATGGGCGTATTCCTGTAACGTTTGGGTTCTGGGGTCAAGGAAGGGAGGAATAGAGAAAGGACCTAGCAGTTTCCTCTTGACTTGCTGTTAATTTTTCCCCCTTTGCATGCAAAAATTAAAGTAACCTACAGTAAGCTAGGCTTACCTTCTTTGATTTTGTCTTGTAGTTGTTCCACACATCACTGATGCAGTTCAGGAATGGGTAATGAATCAGGCAAAAGTTCCGGTGGATGATGACAGACAGGAGCCACAAATTTGTGTAATTGAGGCAAGTATGGAACTTTTTAGGTTATATATCTGCAGTGAACATAAAATACTAGCTTGCTTTCTCTTTGCTCCATATGCTGTAAAGGTCAGACTGAAGTTTTATGGAGAGCAGCAATGTAAAGACACATTTTATATTCTTTGGTTCTGAAAGTGATAGGTGTGGTCTTATCCCTACAACTTTCATTTGGCTAAATCCATTTTAGAATACTGCTGAAACTGAGCTGCTTAAGAGTTTATTAACTTATGGAATTAAAGCAGACAGGTACTGTAATGTGAAGTGCCTATTCCAAGATCCAGGCATTTGACTGAAGCTTTATACTGCTCACAGTATTGAGAAAACTTGTGTATTACTTGAAATCTCCCGTGGTCAATAGGAGTAACATTCTAGCTTTCCGTAAGAATTCACATGTCCATCTTGTTACTTGTGGTCATGTTTAAAGGCATAGATTTAAATAATATGTAAATTGGTTTTCCACTTTCTGGTATTATCTTTAAGACCTTTGGCAGCAACCTTTTTAATCACTTAACCTGCTGATGTTCTGCACAATGGAAACAACAAATTTCCCCCACCCATATTAGGGCATTGAGAGGAGGAAAGACACTAATTGCTAGTATTACTCCTATAGCAGACAATACCAGAAAAGATTATACTTGAGAATTTGACAGAAGAATATGTCATACATTTAATACCAGAAGTGACCACCATAATCAATAATGCAATAAACTTTATGACCTGGGGAGCAGAATTGCTCAGTATTTCTTAGGCAGAAGAATCTGTCTGGATTCAAATATACTCACCAGTATAACTATAGATCTTTTTTATGATGTGCACAGTGAGAGTCAAACATTTAATTTAAAACAAATATGAAAAAGGTAAATACAGAAGTTGCACAAGAACAGAAATGAGTGATGGTCTTATCAACCCTTTAACTTCAGTCTTAATTTTCTGTTTTCTCCATATAAGAGGTTTATTTTTTTTTCTTGTTATACACTTGTACCTCCAGTCTGATAAAAGTATTTTTTGTCAGTACTCTAAGAATAATTTTTCCATGGCAAAATCCTGAAGGAGTTAGACTGAACATGTGTACCATGTACAAATGTAATTATCACAAGTTTTTCTGATACTGGATAAACACAAATGTGCAATTCTGCCAAAAGCCACTTGGTGGCACAGAAAGATCATTCTGAAACACAACTGTTTTGTCAGACTTTTGTGTTAAACTGCGTTATTCAGCGCTTAGTCTGCTATAGCTCTGTCTGTCCTTGAGAGACATCTAATTTCTGTCTTTATAAATAAGTTTTAGCATGGACTTAGTCTTGCATTTTGGTTTGGTAATAAATATTTGGTAAAAAACATTTATTGATGTTGGAAAGCCATGGTGATGGTGGGAAATGTGTGTATCTTGTTGATTACAACTGCTTCTTAATCTGACAGGAAAATAAAGATCTTCTGCACAAAAACCTTCACATGAGCTTAACTGTTGATTAGTGGTTCACCCCTTTCATGGCAGTGTGAAAGCATGTATTATTCAGTAGCACCGAACATCTTCCCATGGGAAGATGATGTATTTGGTGTAAAATGATTATAACAAAACTGGAAAGTTGTTTAATGTTTTCCACAAGAAACAAAATGCGCAGAGTAGATGAGGGTTCTTTTCAGAGTGTGCCTGCAAATTTCAATTGTCAGGTTTTTTTAAGACAAAAATTTCAGAAAACATGTTGAAGTATATGAGAGACTTTTTTTTCTTTTGTTTTTTCTTTCTACCGCTGACATATCTAAGCTTTACTTTTCAGCTGGGTGGAACCATTGGAGATATTGAAGGAATGCCATTTGTTGAAGCATTTAGACAGTTTCAGTTCAAAGCAAAAAGAGAAAACTTTTGTAACATCCATGTTAGCCTAGTACCACAGGTAAGTTATGAGAATTAATAAAATAAATTTCACTCTGTACTGGGCTTTGTATTTGTTTATTTGTCTCATTAACCCTTTTATGCTGGAGCCAAGTCAAGACCACTACAACTCTTTGTACAGGGCTAAAAGTACTTTTTCATTTGAACTCTAAATTTTACTTCACGAGATATAAGTATTCATTGAGGAGATTTTTGTAAACAAAGGTTGGTAATGATGATGTGATTTCACTTGTACAGATAAAAAGGTTCTTATTATTAACTACAGCTATGGATTGATCAGCAGTTGGTAGGATTAATTCTGTGTATTTGAAAACAGAATTATTTGCTACATATGAATATTTTCAAAGACAGTCACTGGAGGTTTTGTGCTGTGTTTGACACTCTCCATTTATTAGCAAAATCCAATTTTTTGAACATTATTATTCTTCTACCCGAGTCAATTATATTGAAACTTTTCTCTGAAAATAGAAAAAGACAAAATAAACCTGACCTGAATTAGGGTCTTCAGAGTATTTGTTAGAAGTGTCACCACTGTTAATATGTTTCTGGCATATTGTGGCTCTGTTTGGATATGTTTATGTCCTGAAAATATTACTTGCAATGCATTTTCTCTTTTAATCTGTAACTGTTTTCTTAGTAGAGGTTGGTTGCTTATTCAAGCTTTCAAAATGTGCCTTTCCAGCCTAACGCCACTGGTGAACAGAAGACAAAACCAACACAGAACAGTGTTCGAGCACTGAGGGGTCTAGGCTTGTCTCCAGATTTGGTGAGTCAGTAAATACAGATTTTTTTTATTGATGGTTCATCTAAAAATGTCCTTGCATAACCTGCGTTCAAAGAATAAGCCTTAGTCTCTGAGGAGAAACAAGAAGTGCAAAATATGTGCTGTATTGCTTCACTAAAGCCACAGGAAATCAAATTACTCAAGTTGACTCAAAGTTAACTTAATTGAACTAACTCCTTGCAATATCTTGGGACTGTAGCTATGTTCTTTTAAAGACATCTTTTTGCAAAAATAATTCTTCACTGCTAAAAATAATCTGAAATCTCAGTTTGCTTTGTGGGAAGAACTAAAATGTTTCTGGCTCCTAACATTCTCACAAATTTCTTTTTATGTGTGATTAAGAAGAAGCAATGTGTATGTCTTCAAAAAGGAAAAATGATTCTTAAAAATATAGTCACACAAATTCTGTGTTGTGCTTCTCTCTGATTTTTGGAGCTCTTGCATTTTACACTTATGAATGACTGTTTTTATAACTACAAAACCAATGGATTTATAAACGGGATATACGACAGATGTGTTTAACTTCCAATTGTTGTGACTTGGTGATTGTAGTTGTCTTGTGGAGGGAAGGACTTTTATTAATGCAATGCAGTATTTGAAGCTTCAGAGCCTAAACTTCAAGATCCCTCTTGAGGTGCTAATTGCATAGGGAAAGTTGCATGTCATTTTTGAAGGCCATTAAGATAATTGCCAGTGCCTGACTTCTCCCTCCCCCTCCCCACCCAGAAAATAAAAATTTTTAAAAAGCCTTTTAAGTGGGTGTGTGTAATAAAAAGAAAAGAGACAAATGTAGTCACTTTCTCACATCTTGAGTTCTTGCCTGGGGCAGTTCTGGCACTGCCAGAAGCACAGTATCTTTTTTTTTTATTTTTTGTGACTGCTGCTATTGACTGCTAAAGCAGCAAGAGATTACAGTCAGAGTGTAGCCTCCTGGTGCCCTTATAAAGTTCCTTGGGTGCTGCTTCAAGACAATGTTTAAATGGTAACTCTCTTGGGCAGAGGCCCAAGGCCGAGACAGCGCACGGGGAAGCTCCTCCAGCAGCAGTCAGGAGGGCTTCCTCCATGAGCTATGCTGCCAGGCTGCCTAATCTGAACTTGGCTGTCCTGTTCTGAATGCCTGCTGCCTCTCTGCCTGCTCCCAGGCTTCTTGAGGTGGCATGCTGGGATGGTCTCAGCTGTGTGTGCAAGAGCCTTTCTGTTCTCTGTGGGGTGTCCGAAGTGCCTAATGAACACGCTACAGCTGCAGGTATCATGTACTCTGCTACAGCACTTTGAAAACTTGAGTATATGCTTGTTCAATTGAATTGTTCTCATCTTCTGTGTGTTATGTTTCTTTGAGATGCATCTCTGCCACTGTTATTATTGTAGTTTCTTTATTTTCATGCTGATTCTGATGTTTTTGATTTCTCTCTCTGCATTAACTTTAAATTTGCCTCAGCAAAATGGTTTATAGTTTTCAAAATTAATTTAGTCATGTGCTCTTACTATCAAGGTTTATGAATTATACCTTCACCTTCAAACTGTACCAAATTTTTAAGTATGAGTTGTGCTTACTTGAATAGAATGTGCAGATTGTTTCCTGGTGCTTTTTTTACTTGAATATGCACTAAGTAGGGGAAGTTAATTAGACTTCATCAATATCAGTGTAGTTAAACTGCATTAGCAAGGTGATCAAAGGTCAGCTACAAGTTTCTGAACAAAGGGGCTTAATGCATTAAGTGGATACATCTGCTAGAAAGATGGGGAAAACAATGAATTAATCTTGTAACAGGATCATTTTACTTTCTGTTACACTTTCAGGTTTCAAAATAACTTAAGGTAGTAGACAAAGTAATCAACAGACACATTGATAGAGCAGTTCTGCATTTTGAGCTAGTTGCCTGGAGTTACATAATGCAAAACCAAGACCCCTTTCAACAAACACCAAACATATAGTAATTTTCTTCATTGTTTAAAAATTATCAATATTTCCTAAAATTACTGAGTTTTGAATGTATCAGCAAAATACTAGCAGAATAATTGCAGCAGTAAAAAACCCCACACAATTTTGAAATAGTTTTCTCATCTTTGGCCTTGTTCTTTTTGTCATGATGTGCAAATTAAAAATTACAAGAAGATGCTAAACTACTGAAATACTAGAAATATGCATGTAAGCTAAGTATTAATGCTCTAAATTTAAATCTGATCTTACTGATAAGATTACAGTATTCCTTTTGATTCATCATATTATTCATCCTTACAGAGCTGCTAGACTTTAGACAGACTATTACAGTAGTAGCTGCAAGAAAGGAGAACATGAGAAAGCAGTATTGCAGAGTGTCAATGAAAGATAAATAAAAATTTGTCACTGTGGGTAGGTGACTGGATTACTTCTGCCTTGCTAGTAGATTATTTGTGAGTTATGATATATTGTAGAACTCTAAAAGAGGGGGAAGAGTATAAAAGGCACATTTGTTTGTGCTCTGCTTCCAAAGGAGATGAATTTTTCTATGAAGTATTGAGGCTCTTCTATTGGTTTGCCTAGTAAATACTTGAAATTTTTCCTTCTGTTATGACAGATAGTCTGCAGAAGTGCAAAACCTATAGAAATGGCGGTGAAGGAAAAGATTTCCATGTTTTGTCATGTGGAGCCTGAGCAGGTCAGTACCTTAATATTTTATTTGTCATTATTTAAACATGTAGGAAAGCATACAAATATTTCTACGTGTTTCTGTTTTCAACTTCAGACTGCTTCATTAACATGTAATTGTTTTTATAATTTTTATCTTGCTGTCCTGTACACTATAGCATTTTAAAAATACTGGAAGTTGGTATGTTAGGTTTTATGTCAAACGGTCCTTAATAATTTAAATGCATGTTATGTAAAAGCTAATCAAAGGAATAGATTTTGAGTGCATGGTTAGTTGCTGTACTGTACTGTGCTGTGCTGTACTGCACAGTTTTCACAACTCTGATTGGTTATTGCCCATAAATGATCTCAGGTGATTGTAGTAATGGATGAACAAAGTGTGGTTAAAGTCAGGTGATTTGCTTATGTCCATAGATGATTGCAACTACATGAACACTTTTACTGTGATCATATGTAATAGGCTATTTATGCTCTTTCAACATGTTTAGAACATGTACTGTGTAGTCATATATCCTTTTATAATTCATGTGTGATTTTTGCCTAATAGTTTGTGATTAATTGATATTCAGATATTAATTTTGAGAAATCAAATGCTCTTTAATATTTTTTACTATAGTAAAAATGCAAAATAGATGCAAATAGTTATGTGGTATTTCAAATATGTGTCAGTGTTGACTTCTATCTCTGCAAATGTGTAAGAAAAAGCTTTTGATAGCAAGATTCCGGATGAGGACTTAGAGAACAGTGAAGCCATTGCTTCATACCCCCACCTCTCATTCCTTCCATCTTACTATCTGTGGAAGACAACACCCTTGATCAAGCTAGCTTCCAGAAAATCCTTCAGTTATGCTTTGTGATTCCTCTTCAGCCAGAGAGAGACAACTGAAAATTCAGTCAGAGAGAAATGGTGTGTGCTCTTCTGGCAGTATCAGGCTGTGTGTAAGCACATACATGCTCAGATCCCAACTGCAGTTATTATGCCAGTCCAAGTGGACCAAGAGCAATGTGCATAACTGAACTTCCCTAAGAGCTCCATGGCAGGGAGAGAGCTGTCTTCATGGCACTGTTCCTTTTTTTCCGAATTTCTACCTTTTAGGGTAGTACCTGAATGGTTGTACCAGTCACAACTTTCATGAGGGCAGAGTGCTGCATTCTTACACTGTTCTGGCTAGCTCAAATGTCATTCCTCAGCACTGAATTGTGTAATATATGTTTGTCTGGTGGTTAGACCCACCCTAACTGAACTGTTAGGTACCACACTGTGTTGCAGCCTTTTTTTTCCCCTCTTTCTTTTGTTCTTTTTTCTTTTCATAACTATATTCATCACAATTCTGCAAAACCATTCTTAAGTCCACTGTGTGTCTTAAAATTAATGAACCACTTTTGGAATTCAGAAGACACTTATGTGCATGTCTTATTTTCCCTAGAATGATCCTGGATTTTTTCTGAAATCAATATGTCTGTGTCTCTCTTGTACTGGGAAGCTCAGAGCTGGACTCAGTACTGCAGGTGTGGCCTCACCAGTGCTGGGTAGAGGGGAAGGATCATATCCCTTGACCTGCTGGCAACACTCCTCCTAGTGCAGCCTAGGGTACCAGGGGTTGGCTAATGTTCAGCTCCACTAGGTTGTTTCTTGTTAAGCTTCTTCCCAGCTGGGTGGTGTCATGTAATGGTGCCTGGGGTTGTTTCTGCCCACATGCAGGGCTTTGCACTTACCCTTGTTGAACTTCATGAGGCCCCTGTCAGCCCATTTCTTCTGCCTCTTGGCAGAGTGGCAGCACAGCCCTCTGCCCTGTCAACCACTTATACCACTTTGGTGTCATCTGAAAACTGGCTGAAGGTGTGCTCTGCCCCATCATACGGAATCAGTAATATAATATAGTATAATATAATACATATTACATAATATATAATTATATAATAATAATATTAATGAGGATGTTAAACAGGACTGGATCCAGTACTGGCCCCTGGGGTACTCTGATAATTACTGGCTTTCAACTAGACTTTGTGCTGCTGATCATCACCCTCTGGGCCCAGCCATTCTGAGTTTCCTCACTGTCTGCTCATCCATACATGAACAGGTTGTCTATGAGGATCTTAGAGGAGATAGTGCTAAAAGCCTTCCTGAAGTCCAGGTAGATGATATCCACTGCCCTCCTCTTATCTGCCAGACCAGTCACTTAATCATGAAAGTTTATCAGATTGGTCAAGTATGACCTTCCTTTGGTGAATCTATGCTGACTACTCCTGATTATTTTCTTGTGTTTTGTGTGCCCGGAACTGGCTTCCAGGACAGTCATAACTAGTCCATGAAGACCATGTGCTGTTTTGTCCACAGTCTTCCTCCAAGTGGATTTTTATTTTATTTATTTCAAGTGAGTCCTCCCTCCTTTCTTGACTCTATGTACTGTCAAGACAAAAGCAGTGTCTTTAACTTGTTTCAGGATTATAACAGTCTCCATAGTCAGCACAGCTGTAACTTAGAGCAGTTAGTGATTCTTTCTTAATGTTATATCCTTAGGATGGTAGCTGCCAAGCTGTCCTGCTCATTCAAAAGAAAAGTATTTAAAAATTAGAATGTATATAGAAAGAAAAAGTACTTGTAGTATCCAAAAAATAGAATGTATGTTTCCTATGAAGAATTTTAGGTAAGTCTTTTTATGTTATGCTTTCTTTTGCTAGGTGATATTTATTCATGATGTTTCTTCTACTTACCGAGTACCAATCCTGTTGGAGGAGCAAGGCATCATTAAATATTTTAAACAGAGGTTAAATTTACCTATTGATGACCAGCCAAGTGATCTTCTAATGAAATGGAAGAAAATGGCTTGCAGGTATTCTACATCCTGCTGCTTTTTTAAGAAGTGTTTTAATTCAAGTTAGGTTTTTAGCTACTGTGAAGTCACCAGACTGGACTGGAGTCCAGGTGCTGATCAACACCTGTGAATGGTCTAAGTTTAAAAACATGGTCAGTTAGGAAATTTTAGAAGCTATTTTGTGGAGTTAAAGAAAAAGCAAACACTTAAAATGTTTTCTTTGTGAAATCTGATGTAGTAACTGAAAAACTTTTTTTTTGTCAGATATGAAAGGTTGCTGAAGGTGTGTTCCATAGCTCTTGTTGGCAAGTACACCAAGCTAAGTGACTGCTATGCATCTGTTTTCAAAGCTCTGGAACACTCTGCGCTGGCAATTAATTACAAACTGGATTTAATGGTGAGGATATTTCTGGCTTTTGCTTTCAGGAATACTTTGAATCTACTGTTGTATAATTCTGTGATACCCTACTAGTTCCCATCATGTGAGGCAGTTTTAATTCATGTGAAAATCAGAAAATGAATCATGCAGATAAATACAGACAGGCCAAGCATCTAATTTTTTAAAAGAAATGTTTACAGATTTAATTTTTTTTTTTTTTTGGAACTAAAGTTATCTGAAGGGAACACTGAAGTTACCCAAAACTGGAGCTGATGAAAAAACAGACTTTACCTGCAAATTTGTATTTACTATCAAAGTTAAATTTCACTTGTTCTCATGAGAAGTGGTTTCATGGTGGACTTGGCAGTGCTAGGTTAGTGGATGGATTAAGGATCCTTTCTAACCTTAGTGTATCTATGATTCTATGACTAGAAAAGGGCAAATGTTGTATCCATGTTAAAAAAAAAAAAGAAAAAGGCAAAAATGGCAGGTGGTCAGCCTCTCTTTGTTCCTTGGGAAGATTATGAGCAAATACTACAAAAGGTTTTTGTGTACATGAAAAACAAGAAAGTGGGAACAGCTAGAATTGATCCCTGGAGATTTTTAGATCCTGGCTTTTGATGATCCTTAGCAACTTGCTCCAGTTTGAATTGGTTTGAGTAGAGGGTTGGGCTGGAGACCTCACAAGGTCCTTTCTGACTTATGTGATTCTGTCACTATAGTGTTACTGGCAGCTGCATGGTGGGAAATTTTTTTGATATGTAAAATAGCTTTGCTTTTAGCAAAAAAGTGAAAGATGCCCTGTCTGCAAACACACAGCTTTGTGTGCAGCTGGTCTTAACTTTGGTGGGGCTTTTGCATTAACAAGCATGAGACTTGATGGTTGCTAAGCTCCAGTGCAGTGCTGAAAGGTTAACAAACAAGGGCTCCTGCTGTACTTACCTGCATGTCCTAACCTCCTTTTAGTGTTTTTGCCCAAAGGCTCTTGATAGAATGCCATGCTCTGAAGGAACTGCTTCATCTGAATGATGAAATGTTGATGCTGCTTGAAGTGATAAATGTGCCTGCTCAATATCTTTGGCAAGGAAAACACAATTAACTTAAACTGTAATTAGTTTCTCTTTCCAATCTCCAAGCATGATAAAATGTCCTTTTAGTAGATCCTGTAGTATTCTAGTATAGAATAACAACATTCAGAAGTAGTTCTAGGAGGCAATCCTGTCTGTCTGGCAAACTGTCAGCAAGCTTCTTGTCAGATTCGTTTCTCTGCACATGGGTGAATTCTGTCAATTTGGATGATCTCATTTTTGTGGAGGAGGGACTCTAGAGCAGGATGTGATTAATTATGTTATTCTGAGGAGAAGACTGACAAAACCCAGAATCCAACTCTGATCTTTTGTGTCCCCAGTGCAGTACATAGCCATCTCACTTCACTCTAGTGGTACCTCAGGAGCTGTGCTGCTTAATAGCACTAGAGACTCTAATGCAGGATTTCTAATAGGGCATAGGTAATGTGTCTCCCTTTCTACACAACACTCCCCAGAAATGCCTTTTTCACAGACAATGCAGGTTTATCCAATCTTATAATAAGATTAGATAAACTGTGGCACCCAAAAGGCAGGGAAGTGAACATCCCGGCTATCAGGATAAGTCAGCACCACTCCTCGGCTGGTTCCTGATTGCCATAGGGAGATAACCTGGGTACACAGTTATGTGAAGCATTCTAGCAAGTCTGATTGCCTGGAGGAAACCAAACAGGACTGTTGGCAGGCAGAACTTCTGAGCTATGTGCAAAAAAAGGGCATGGATTGCTGCAACTGGAGCAAACACTGTGTCCACAAAACAAGTACTGGGTCTTCAGTGAAGTTGTTACAGGTTTATTCGGAAATTCACTTGAAATGCTTAATAATTTTTCTTAATGCTTGATTAGTCTTTCTGTGGAAGAAAAGACCATTTCATTGCCTATTTTTCTTTATTAGTACATAGATTCAACAGAACTTGAACGTTCTACAGAAGCGGAGAACTCAGTGAAATATCACCAGGCATGGCACAAACTGTGCAAAGCAGAGTAAGTGATGTTGGGTATTCTGTGTCCAAAATGCAGACCATGATATTGATTTCATATGCTGAAAAATGTTTCAATAAATCAGATAATTTCTCAATGCATCCAAACTTCTGTTATTTATGTAAAGGGATATAAGCTTCAGACATAGGAAATGAAGTATCAGCCTATAACCTCAAACTCTGCTTTATTCTCTTTAGACAAGTTGCAATTGTTTAGTTGTTGGGTTAGGGTTATTCTTGTTTTGGTTTTTTGGATAGCTGGACTTTCTTTACAGTGTAGGTCAGTGAAAGGTGCTTGTAAATGCTGTTGACACTTTGCAAATGTCTCTGTTAAGAATCATTGCCAGGATTTCAATTTGTATTTGTAAAGGGATATTGTTTGTTGTCAAAATGCATTTAGTTTCTACATTATTGCTTAGAAGATGTAAAGTTTTGGTGTTGGGATCCTAGAGTAGTGAATATGAAGATAGTTTATTTGAGCAATATGTGTTTAAGCAGTTGGAATTTCACTGTGAAGCATGAGGCTGGTCAGAAGAGAATTGGGGTGGGTAGATGAAACAAATCTCCAAATTTAGAGTTAAATTCTTTGTATTTGGAATGTTCATACAAAACATGCCTTTCATGCATTGTGCTTGCTTAGTTGCCTCAAAAGTCTTCAGTTTGTATGGATTTCCTCTACTGGCTTGATTCTACATGTTAATTCTTTTATATATGGCTGTCATTACAGTGGCATTCTGGTCCCAGGAGGGTTTGGAATTAGGGGAACCGAAGGCAAACTCCAAGCTATCTCCTGGGCAAGATCAAAAAAAAAACCTTTTCTTGGTAAGATCATTAGAGTCAGAAATTATTGTGTTTTGCAGACGTATAGCAAGCTAAGTGATTTGATTAAAAAAAATAAAATTAACCCCACACTAGGGAAGGATTCTGTCTTAGGGAAGTCTATATGATGTTGTGGATACTTGCCATGTAAATGATGCCCAGGGTCATAGTTGTGTACTACATCTGTATAAGGAAGGAAATGAAGACTATCCCTATTCCCAAGGTTTTATTGCTATGTTCACATTTTGAGTAGAGTCTTTGCTTCTCATTGTAATTAAATCACTATAATTATATATGTTAAATAGTGTGCAGAAAACATAGGTGTCTTTGTTGGACACATTTGTTGTATTAGATTATTTTTGTTGATTTACTGATATATTTTATTGTGGTAAAGTCATCTGGCCTATAAGCTGAGTGCTGTTTGTGTAAATACCTCTCAAAATTTCATTCCTACTCCGCATTTCTTACGATTTTTTTAAGTTTCTGAGTAGCTGCCAAAGCAAACTTTGAATCTGGATATACCCAGGCTTTCAGGTTCTGTTTGTCTTTGCAGTAATTATTGGTAAAATAGACAGGAGGAAAAAAAATCTTTGAAAGGGCTTAAAGCACGTAGTTCTGTCACAGGTATTTACAGTGTGCCAAGTTTGAAGTGTGAACTTTACATTGAGCGGCAACTTTTGATTTAGCTTTTTGTAAGTCTGTGCATATACACTGAGTACTAAGATTTCAAAGTAGTCAAGTCTGAGACAGAAGAGCAAGTACTTAGTCAGTCCTGCTTTGTCCTGTTAAATTCTGTTGGTTTTTTTTTTTTTTCCCCTAGGAGTTTGCCTGGGAATGCAGTTAGCAGTTGTGGAATTTGCAAGAAACTGTTTGAATTGGAAAGGTGAGCTCAGTATGCTAGTGTGAATATGATTTGCTTAGAAGAAATTTTATTCTCTGTGTGAAATGTGTGTCTATTACTAGAACTATATACAGATCCTGTGATTGTTAGATACTTAGCTCTTGCAGCAAGATCATTTTCAGCTATATATGCTGTGCAACCTCTCTGCAAGGGAGTAGGAATTCTTTATTATGCAGATTGCTTGAAACCTGTTTCTTGATCTATAGCGTAGGAGAAAGTATGCTTACAGTTCACCTCTAGTCTCTTTCTGGAGTGTGCAGGTGGTGAGAAGTAAAAGTGGTTTTCTCATTTGCCTTCCTTAGCCAGAGTAGAGAAACCACAACCACTGCAGTAGTAGTATGAAGAGATTTAGCTCATCAACGAATTTCTACTACTATAAGCTGAGAGGAAAGAGTTTTGGAAAGTAGGAAAGGGAATGTGTGTGTCTGAGGTCATATACCTCCTGTGCTTGCTTCAGACGTGGTGCAGTATGTGTTTCAACATATGATTGTAGCTTAAATGCAGACAAGCCCTGAAATGCTACAGAACTGTTACAGGTTTGTAGTGCATGTAGAACAAATGTACTGTGTTTACTTTGAATTTCTGTTTCAGATGCAAATTCTACAGAATTTGACCCAGACACAAAAAACCCTGTTGTGAGTACAGTTTTTCCTGCATATGTTTTGTGAACATACATTTTTGTTAAAATGTGTTAGTTAAGATCTATATATATTTTTACATGGTAGGACATGAGGTGTTTTCTGCTGTCCCTATTTAATATTGTTTAAAAAGCTATTTTCTTTTGATAGTGTCTTACCATTACCTGCTCACTTTTGTGAATTATCTTAGCTTTACTTTTTTAATCTTTCTAATATTTTCCTGTAAACTGGCTGTAAACTGATCCTAGGAGTAGACAATAATGATTAGTTTGGCTTTAGTAGGGAATAAAATATAAAAGGGAGCTGAAAAGTGTAGCGCAAAGCTTTTATCAAAATATAAATTTATATAGAAAAGATAAGGATTAAATGTAAAGGGTTTGAAAAATTCTTGTGTTTCCTTTATATAAAATGCATAAATAATCACTACACCCCTCCTGCTGACTCATATTACAGTCTTCCTTTTGACAAAAATTTCAGTGCTGCAGATAGAGCAGAGCTTTCTGCAATATGCTGATGGTAGAATTTGAGTGAAGTTCATCCCATCGTCACTGTAGTAAAACTTAAAAATGATCAGTGAACAAGGGGTTTAAAGACAATGAAAAAGAACAGAAAAATGTGAGAAATAAAGCAATATCTTGGTGTAAGATGTAAACATCTGTTCTAGTGACAAATTAAGTGGGTTGCTCATAGTGACCTACTGTTTCTATATGAACTTCCTTCAAAAGTGTTTTGTTGGGATTTGCAAGTGAAACTTCTTTTTTTCATGTCTGCTTAGTCTGAAATGTGCCAGTAGGAGGGTTTTGAAGCATTTGACCTTTTTGACAAGGTTGTTTATTTCCATAGGAAAGATAACCTAGTCTGAATTTTTGAAGGTAAATTAAAGACCTAAAAGTTTTAGTGTAAGACTTGCTGCTAAAACTTCGTGGTGTTTGGAGATGTCCTCAGGTGAGCAAAGGTAAACTTTTGTGGCCTTGCCATCATGTAAGAGATCTCTTCCTTCCTCTTTCTTGAATTTGTGCAAAGACATACTGTTTCACTGGAGAGTTCAATTTCATGATGGCAATATGTTGTAAAATGTGGAAGATGTTGAACACTTACTGTAAATTCTTTTGGTATCAAGAAGGGAGAGTACAGAAGACTGATTCTGGGCTATCTTTGTTTTTAGAGCTTTTGGAGTGCCAGTTTTATGTAATTGTAATTAACTGGGTGATTTGCAGTTTGCATTCAAGGACAAGTAAGGTAGATATGTTAAAGAGAAAGTTATGTGGTCATAAAGTTAAGGAAATATTAGAATGACTGTATGTGTCATAGAAGATTAATACATTGTTTACAAGGGAAGCAGTATGCTTGCAGTATGTATAATGGATATTCTTTTGTTCTGAGCAGCATTAAGGTTTTGAAGTTGGTTATTACCAGTCATATTTCAGCATCTTAATCTAATCTTTGACATTTCAGTTTTGGACAAGAAACAGATATAAATCATTCCAAGGGGGAAATTTGCACTACCAATAATTATAACTGCTAAATAATCTGCCTTAGCAGAGTCCATCTTGTGCTAAAAACTGTTTAGATATTTTATATAATCAATAAAAATGAATGGAAGAGAAGCACATTAGTGAAGCTTTTGAAATATCTGACTGATGTAGATGTTTCATTGTGCAAGAAAGTTAATTGGAATGTATCAGCACCGATAATATCTTGTGATGCCACTGTATGCTAAGGACCAAAGCAGTGTTCTTTTCTTTTGGTTCCTGCTCCTTTGGAAACTGATGGGGGTGAAGAAAGGTACTGGAGAGGCAGTAGTTCCTTTTATTTTTAAGAAAAAGACAAAAGTTGGAATATGTAGCTTGGTGTGAACCCAGGGCCACCATAAAATGTGCAGCTACTTACATCCCTTCTTAATTTGCCAAGCATTCAGGTACTCAGAACTGTACTTAGCAAAGCCAATAGTTTCTTCTAAAATACCTAGAAAATATCTTGGTCTTCTTTGCTTCCCTTTATCTGCATCTATGGAATTTTGAAACTTTTTATTAGAAATAAAAACTGAGATTATCAAGTAATCGTGTACCTCAGAATTATGGAGAATCACAGAACCATTGAGGTTGGAAAAGACTGCCCAGATCATTGAGTCCAACCTTTGACCAGTCACCACCTTGTCAACTAGACCATGGCACTAAGTGCCACGTCCAGTCATTTCTTGAACACCTCCCGGGATGGTGACTCTGCCACCTTCCTGGACAGTCCATTCCAATGCCTGACAAACCTTTCAATGAAGAAATTCTTTCTGTCGTCCAACCTTAACCTCCCTTGGTGCAGCTTGAGGCTGTTTCCTCTTGTCCTGTCACTAGTTGCATGGGAGAAGAGGCCAGTCCCCACCTGACTACAACCTCCTTTCAAGTAGTTGTAGAGAGCAATAACGTCACCCCTGAGCCTCCTTTTCTGCAGGCTAAACAACCCCAGCTCCCTCAGCCACTCCTCACAGGACTTGAGCTCCAGACCCTTCACCAGCTCTGTTTTCCTTCTCTGGGCATGCTCCAGCATCTCAATGTTTTTCTTGTAGTGAGGGCCCAAAACTGGGCACAGAACTCAAGGCACGGCGTCACCAGTGCTGAGTACACGGGGACAATCACTGCCCTGGTCCTGCTGGCCACACTATTGCTGATGGAGGCCAGGATGCCACTGGCCTTCTTGGCCACCTGGGCACACTGCTGGCTTGTGTTCAGCCATTGTCAGCCAACACCACCACGTCACCTGGGCAGCTTTCCAGCCACTCTTCCCCAAGTCTGGAGCAATGCCAGGCATTGTTCAGTAGGGAAGGTGAGGGAGGTATATGAGCTCTGAGCACAGCCCCTCAAGTTCTTGATCTCACCTTGGTTGATTATTTGCAGGTGATGTTCCCATTACGTATTCTTAAGCTTTCTACTTTACTTTATAGCCTTTTTGGAAAATAATGATGAATTGTTAGTGTTCTTTGTAGGAAAGTGGCTGTTCAGAAAAGTAATGCATTTGCTTGAGCGTAGTGCTTGGTATGAATTTTCTCATACCAGTGATAATTTGGTAATTTGGTAAATGCTAATTTCAAAAATAACTTCTTTAAAGGGAAACTGTGTAGTTTGTGAACTGCTAATGAACTGGATTCACTGGATGGACAAAGAGTCATTTGTTTGTTCCATTTCCCTTATCTTCCTCTATTATTAAATTTTTTTTAATGAGCCTTTAAATTATTTTCTTTGTCAGTTTTATTTCAACTGCATCTAATACTTCTATAGAGGAAAAAAAAAAAGACTCTTTCGAGAAATAATTGCAATGCTTTTTTCTTTTTTTTTTCCTTTGAATTAAAAAAGCTAATTTTAATTGTGACTGTTGTTCTTCGTGACCTATTTATTGCACCTTGTATAGGATCATGAAACTGAATTTATTGCAGAGGATAAAATTGCGTTTTCTGTATACTCAAGAAATGCAGAAATACATTTTACCAGTAGGTGACACTCTTAAAACATGTTTGTTTCTTGGTGCCCATGTTTCCTATTCAGGATCTCAGTAACCTTATTGAATTCCAAAATTTCTGAGGTCATCTAAGAGATATAAAGGAACATGTCTCACTCACACAAAAGCACCTCCTAAAGTTCTGCGATGTACTTAGGTGTGTAAAGTAGCTACCACAGCTTAGTAAGCTAATAGGCAGGTGGTGTATTTAGTTTTGAAATCGAAGCATGCTCTTAATTGAGAATTTTTTTTCATAAACCAGAAAAAAGTAATAAATATTATGATTTTCTTCCAAGAAACAATATATTTCAACAACTAAAGGGTTTTTGTAAAAGAATGGCCTTGAGTGCCTGTTAGAACATTCATATCATGTCTACACATAATATTTTTTGAGGCTTCTATTCATACATCACTGGTGTGTAGTACTTTACTCCTCATTTCATGGAGGGAAAATTCAGGGATAGGAACCACAGTCATATGGGGTCTTGAATGCACTTGACAGACTTTGCAATTAATCTGAGTCTTTAAGTCCTTAAGTAACTCTGAGATCTAATTAATTTATCAAGATAATGGAGGGTGCTGGTGCTAAAATTCAGTCCAAAGTTCCAAGTTATCTAGCAGGATTAGCGCCTAATCTACTGATTACTTGCCTTCAAAATTTTCATTCTTCTCATTTCTCTTCTTTGACTAATTTCTTCTTAAGGTAAATAATAATGCCCATAAATTACTTGTGGGAAAACACATCTGTCACAGGAATCATACAATGAAAAGGTTAAATCTTCACCAGAGAAAGGTAATGAATGTTTTAGTTGCAAAAGCAATCCCTCAGTTTATATACATAATTACCTATTACAGGAGTAATAACAAAAAAAAAATAACGTACTTACATAAATAAAATTTAATGTTGCAGTTATCATACTTGGCATTGTTACATTGTTACTGAAAATAAGTACTTCATGTTCTAAAAAACTGAACTGTTTGCCCTATGGCAGTGTTGTCTTATGTAATGATGAAACTGAACTGGGAGGAGTATTGGATGGTATCCACTAGGGAACACTCCTCAAATGGAATGCTACATCTTTCTTTTTGTGTGTTATAGGAACCGTGTGATTTGAATTGCTCTAGAGGTCCAAATAGTAGCTCAGGTAAAGCAGGGTTTGGTAAATGACACCTCAGATGTAGCGTGAAAGAGAAACAGATAGTTCTGAACTAATTGCAAGGCATTTCAGCTGGAAAGTGGGGCTGGTGAGTATGCAGGAAACACAATACAGACACACTTCGTTATCTGTTAAATCTTTATTCCATATGTTTTAAAATAATAACAAATCTGTGGGTTTAGATGTATGAATAACATAAACAAATGCCAGGCTCTTCTTCAGTGCAGTGATATTTGTTCTTGCAGATGCCTTACTGTCCTCTATTAGTTATCCTTTTTATAAGCATCACAAACTCATCAAAGCTGACACTTCCATCATTATTTTTGTCCAACGATTTAATTATGTTATCAAGTG